GTTGTTTACCAGTGGCATTGCACAATGTGAACTGGAACAGGCTCCAGACGTGGCTGCAGGTGGGGATGGAAATGCAGTTACTGCTGAAATGAGCTCAGTTTGTCAGAGCATGCTGCCAATAATGCCAAGGTTGTGGGGTTGGACTCCATGATCCTTGTGGGTCCCTTCCAACAGAGAATATTCTGTCATTTTGTAATTCTGTAAATCTGTAACTACCCAGACCAGAGCTGAGCTATGGCTCCTAGACGTTAATTTAGGAAGTGATGGCTACCAGCTCAATCACATACAGGAATTAATATTTTGGACAAAATCATTGCAACCTTCCTGCTCTTAGCAAAGGGAGTATGTTTGGGTTTAAATTAGACCTAAGGGTTGTGATGAGGAATGGACAGAGTGATGCTCACACCTGTGACCTGGCACAGTTGTGAAATCGATTCCTGCCCAGATTAATGAGCACAAACCATGCATTTTAGGTGATTTTGAGTCTACAGAGAAAAATCTTTTCCAAACTAAGCGCCCCTCAGACACCTCCTCATTCACTTGTTAAGGCAAATAACTTGATTTTAGTCTTCAGGTTTCTGAAAAGAAGGAACAAAACAGTCTTTCATGGTCCCCTCATTTTTCTTTTGGTCAGGAATCGATTTCACAGCTGTGCCCAGTTACAAGTGTGAGCATCAGTTTGCTATTCACCATCACAACCCTTAGGTCTAATTTAAAACCAAATAAACTCCCTTTGCTAAGAGCAGGAAGGTTGGAGTGTGTCAGCTTTGGTTAAGACTGAACAATTTGATTTAAAAGAAAACCTTCAGGAACTAAAGCAAAGACCTGCCTGTGTCCCAAAACAATAAAAGTGATCCATAGGTCTGAATCAGCACACCCACACTAAAATACCATATATCACAGACATGCCAAAGAACAGCTGACAGTGGGAGCCTGTGCAGATGGAATAAAGTTTTTGCCTTTTACTGTAGGTCAGCATTTAAATCTAAATCCTTTCTAAGCCTGGCTCCTTTCCCATGACCTCCAAAATCTGGGTACAGCACATTGTTACTTTGTACAGGTTATCACATTGTGAAAAAAAAACCAACCAAACCCCAAAACCAAACAAGGAACAATAAAAAACCCTAATGAAAGCACCACAATGATTAACTGTGGGAAATAAATTCTGAATTTCTCAATTAAACATAAAAATAAGGATTCACAGATATTCGCCCCTCTGTGTGAAACACCTGGGCACAACTGTGAATTACCCAAGATTAGAACAAAAACTTGATTTCAGAGTGGTCTATTTTAATTCTTCTCTGTGTAACCAACTAAAGTGAGCAAGATGGTTCAGAAGTTTCAGTATCTTACAAACCCATCAGTAACTCTTCCATGCGGATAGGCAGGTGCAAAGAAAGCCACCAGAGTCAAGAGAATTTGCAGCAATGCTTCTCCTCACCTTGTCCTCCTCCACTACAGGGGAGTCACTTCATTCTTACAGCTGTAATTCTCATTTTTATTTGTGTCATTCTCAACACCTGAGCAGTTTGGAGTCCCAGCACCAGCTCAGCCTCCTGCTAACAGGATCACACAACATGTGGGATCCCTTCTGGCTGGCTCTCAATCCCCACTCAAGATGACCCAGGCTTAAAGTTTAATCTAATTATGATTTGAACCATCCTCAGAGGCTGCCAATGTGCAGGTGACACCAGATCTTAAAGGCTCCAAGGGGAAATACCCTTTCAGCTCCAGTGAGAGAACTCAAAAACCCCATCAAACACATCAAAAACTGCTTTGCTGACACAAGTTCTAAAAACCAGGACATGGGTAAGAAGGGAAAAATCTGTCTCTGTCTTTCAGCCAAATGGGTGTTAAAAAAATAGGAAAGAACCAGGCCTGCAGGAAATACAAACTGATTTAGTAGTTCTGTAGGAGGGCTGGGTTCTTGTGACATGCACTGAACAGACCTGTACTGAAGGCTTCAATCTGGAAGCTGAAAACTTGGTTCTGTACCAACATCACAGCAGGACTGGGGGGATTAGTCTGAATTAAATGCTTTGAAAAATGAAAAGCATGAGGTAAATACTGAATATTATTAAAACCCTAAAGATACTTGACACAGAATAATTATTATTCATGTGAGATTACTATGAAAATATTGGTTTATTTATGAATTAAATGAAGTGTGTATTAGGAAAGGGAACCACTGATAAGCCAAAAAAACAGAAGTCCTACAGAAAAAAAAATTGTACAAAAAAGTACAAGTAACAAACCAAGCTACTTCCATATCAGACTGAGTGATGGAGACAATGTCCAAGAAAGATTCTTAAGCAATTTTGGTTCTTCAATCTAGTTAAGTTTAATACAGAGCAAAGAGATTTAGTCCCATGGAAGTAAATTATTTCTTTGACTTTTAGTTGGTGAAGAACAGGGACATTTTTGGTCCTGGGCTGTTTTAATCACTTGTCATTTGTGTCTCCATCATCTCCAGATGAGGTTTGGGCAACTTCTCCTAGAGCTATTTTGTGTGGAAACAGCTCAAAGCCAAAACTTGCAGCTGCTCTACAATGCCCCTGTCTACACCTGGTGCCAGCTCTCAACATCCTGCCACCCGAAAACACCAAAAATAAAGCTCTAAGAGAGGGAAGAATACAAAACCAACAAAACCTTGCCTTCCCAAATGTCCTTGGCAGAGCAGCTAAGGCCAGAACTCCTTCAGATGCAATGTGAAATGTGTGGCCTCCAGAAGAGCACAACACCTTTCCACATGGAATTCTGCACTCTAGAAGATATGCATTTCTAAAAGTTTCTTAACAATCCAAACCCCTGGTCACACACAGGCATGTAAAAGGCAGGGTACCAAACTGGACCTGCCAAAGGGAGCATCCTGCTGAAATCCCTGAGAGAAAATCCTTGAAATTTACAAGGTGAAAATGTCATTTCTTCATTCAGAAACTTACTCAAGGTGGTGACCTTTTTTCTCCAAAAGCCTTGTATTGCACCTTCTAGAGTTGTCAGGAAGTACCTGTGTGGTTTTTTTAACGTGTGCATCATACTTTACCTACAACAGTAAAATTTTCCAGCCTCAGCAGATTTTGTTCCGCTGCCTGCACTATGAACAAAACCCACAACAGCTAAAAAGGGCTCTAACCTTTGCAAACCTTTTGGTCCTGAACTCTGTTCATGCTTCTAAAGCAGGAAAGTGGTTTGCTGCACGTGACAATAGCTCCTCTGTACTATAGATAGGAAATTCCTGTTATCAATGGCAGCTTTTGAAAAATTCATCCTTGCAGAAAAGCTGAAGTTCAGTGAGCTTACGTTATTTGAGAAAGAGCTTTGAAGTGTCTATTTCTAATCCTCCACTCTGAATGACAAAGAAGTTATTTGCAATTGTGAATCTTTAAAATGCAGATCTGAACTGATGTCTCTGTTTTTGTAACTCATTAACACAAACCCTGCTATTCAGCTTTTACTGAACATCTTTTTTCCATTCCAAAGTGAAGCACTAGTGCTGTCTCTTAAGATGATTATGCTCTTGGTGAGCCAGTGTTTCCACATGCATATTCTGAGACCCAACAGAAATTACATTTTCAAAGACATCAGAAATAACATTTTCTTTATCTGCTATTACAAAGTGACAGCCACAGCCCAGGATCTCTTATTGTTCATGTATTTTACAAGTCTGAAAATGGATGGCAATAGGATTCGCAGCTGGCAGAATGTCTCCAAAGAAGAGTTTTTCTATCAAATTTTACACAAAAGCAGAAATGAGGCTCTGGGCCCCGGATCCCACATGATCCAGCAGATGCTGTTTCCAGCTTCAGCAAGTTTTCATTCAGAAGCAACTGCCTCCATGTTCAACAATGCCCCATGGATCACACAAGATCCTGTTAGCCTGTATAAATGAGAGGCCTGGTTTAGAATTACAGCAAAAATATAATAAAACACTGCACTATCACAATTTCCTATCTCAAAGGGGTGCACATGTAGAGGTCACGATGATCCTACCTGGAAAGGACTGTAGTTAACTGCACATTCCCAAAAATGTATGAATTTTTATTGTACTATTAATGTTGTAGTAAAACCTGTATTAGAAAACTCATCTGTGCATCTTCCCCTTGACATCTCTGAAGTTAGAAAGATGCAAATTATTGGTTCAAGAACAGCTTGAAAGAGAAAATGAACCTGCAGCTTCTATTTTGGCTCCAGTGAAGTCAGAGGGATCTTTTTCACTTCTGCTTTGGTACCTGACACTGCTTCCAATGGCCCAGGGGATGAAGGAGCCACACGGAAAGGCCAATCCTATAACTCGCACCTGCTCAAAATGGCAAAACCAGAGGTGGAGGCGTCGATGTTGGCTCCCAGCCATCAGACACGTGGCACAGCTTTGGCACATGGAGCCTGGCTGCAAAGAGTGACCCCTTAAAGATGCTCTGGGAGCTCCACCCTAAGCAGTGACCCCTCAAGCCACTGTGGGAGCCCCACTGTGATCTCCTAAAGCTGCTGTGGGGACCCCACCATAAGAAATTACCCTCTGAAGCTGCTGTGGAACCCCACTGTAAGGATTGATGCCCTAAAGCTGCCATGGGAGCTGCACCATGACCTTCTAAAGGTGCTGCAGGAGCCCCACCACAAACAGTGACCCCTCTCACAAAAAGTGAGACCCCAGACCCCTGCGGGAGGAGCAGCAGCCCAGCACCTCCACCCCAACACCCGCATCCATCACCCCGCAGGTCCTGCTGCTCCTTGTGTCCTGCCCAGGCAACCCAAACTGCACACACCCCCTTGGGCTGGATGGAACCGCATTATGGAGCTGGGCACAGCCTCCCCAATCCCTTCCCTGCGCACAGTCCGTCCATCCATCCATCCATCCATCCATCCATCCATCCATCCATCCATCCATCCATCCATCCCCCCGCCCATCCCACGCGCACCCGAGGGCGGGGAGCGGCGCGGGGCGGCGGCGGGCGGTCCCCGCGGGGCGGGCGGGCTCTGTCGCGACTCTCGGCGACACTCACCTCCTGAAGTCAAAGGGCATGGTGCTGGCGGTGGTGGTGGCGGGCGGGCTGCGGGCGCCGCCGCCCCCGGCCCCGGCTGTGGCCTCGCTGCCGGCGGCTGCAGGGCCAGGAAGTGACGGCCCCGGCCCCGGCCCCGGCGCCGCGCAGCCCCAGCCCATTGGGCGGCCGGGCCGGCCGGGGCTTCCGCCGCCGGGTTACGGATCGGCGGCACCGCGCTCAGGGATCCGGGATCCGGGATGTGGGGTGAGGGATGCGGGGTGAGGGATGCGGGATGCGGGCGGCCCCAAGCCCCGCGGGGCTCCCGCACTTGGCAGGGTCCGCTCGGCGCTCGCCGTGCTCCGCTCGGCCCCGCGGCTCTCACGGCGCTGGCAGCACGGAATTACGGAGTTATTTCGGTTGGAAGAGAGATCTAGGATCATCGAGTCCCAGCTGTGCCCCATCCCCACCTTGTCCCCAGCCCAGAGCACCCAGTCACCTCCTCCAGCCCTTCCTGGGACACTCCAGGGATGGGCTCTCCAAACCTCCTTGGGCAGTTCCAGTGCCTGTGCACACTTTCCATGGGGAAATTCCTGCTGTGCCCTCCCTGAGCCTGCCCTGGCCCAGCCTGAGGCCGTTCCCTCTTGTCATGGTAGCCCCCATGGCTGTCCGCTCCTGTCAGGAGCTGTGCAGAGCCACAAGGTCCCTCTGAGCCTCCTTTTCTCCAGGCTGAGCCCTTTTCCAGCTCCCTCAGCCTCTCCTGGGGCTCCAGACTGGAGTGTGGAGGTGTTTCAGGTTTTATCCAGCATCTTTGGCACTCAGCATCACAGGAATACCAGCGTGTGTCAGGGGCTGTGTCTGCAGACAGGGCAAGGTCCCTCCAGGTGCCTGCAAAGGAAGGAAAAGCACCCACTCCTCCATCCCTGGGCACCCTTTAAGTTTAGCTTAAATATTAGGAAGAAATTGTTCCCTGTGAGGGTGTGAGGCCCTGGCACAGGGTGCCCAGAGCAGCTGTGGCTGCCCCTGGATCCCTGGCAGTGCCCAAGGCCAGGCTGGACAGGGCTGGGAGCAGCCTGGGACAGTGGGAGGTGTCCCTGCCATGGCAGGGGTGGCACTGGATGATCTTCAAGCTCCCTTCCAACCCAAACCATTCCATGATTGTATGATAAGCTCCTTTAAGGGCCAGCACAGCTCTTTCACCTGCTCTTGGAAATCTTTTTTACTGGTGCAATTTTACTGGAGACAAGGGATTAAAGTTAGAGAAAGCTCCCCATTCGTTAGATGAGGCATTTCCCCAATCTTTCCATTTTGCCTGCATGCCTTCTTCTGGCTGCATCCCTGGCAGGTTCAGTGCAGTGCATGAGGCTAATCCTGTCCTGTTCCATGCACCATCCCTGTTTCCATAATTGTGTCACCAGTTAACAATATCCCTCAGGGATGCTTTGCTGCAGGTAGTGTGGCTGCTGTGTTCTGTGTTCAGAATCGCTGTCACTCTCATGCAGTGCAGGTTACACTGCACTGCAGGAACAAAATACAACTATTCGTGCCTTTAAGTCTAAAAGCAGGGCAAGAGAAAGTGAAATGACAGCAGTCTGAGTATGCAGTATACTGCATTTCTAATTGATTCTGTACCTTTCTTCCTCCTTCTGCTGTCATCATTCCTTTACTTAGAGATGCATATCTATCCATTTTTTTTCCCCTTCACGCAGAAACTAGGCCCATACCTGGTTTAAAAAAAATTCAAATTGAAGCAAGCAGGGGAAAACTACTGAAGAGATAGAGCTGTTAATCGATACCATTTTCATTCAAAGAAAGAGATAATAATTCATGCTGGGAATATGAAAAACTGAACTGGAGGAATCCCAAGTATGAGATAACACAGCATTATCCCCCAGAAGCCCCCAGGGAATAGATGAAAATACCTAATTGGTTTTTGGGGGTATTTTTTTGATCTCAGACACCTAAATTATCCGACTGCATCGTGCGAGCACATTCAGCAGATTGGTAATAGACCAGCCATGAAATCCTGCTTGCACTTCACACTGTGCTCCAAAACTGAGCAGCCCAGTGAAATTAATGAGACAATTCTCATCTCTCATGAGGTCAAGCCATTGCACAGGCGTAGCCGGGGGGGAAAATGATCGTTGTGGAAAAAAACCAAAACAAACAGTGCCTGACGAGGTGGTTACACAACCGAGTGCTCCTGGCAAGGCCCCCACATCATTAGCTGTTATTAACTGTCTTGTGCAGAGGCATCAGCTCTCTCAGGAGCCAAGAGAGTGCTGAAGGGTTTACAAAAGCTCTTCAGTTGTACAGTAGATAAATCTGGAGGTGGCCTTGAAGAGTTCTCCTGCAGGCTCGAGTCTCAAGAACACAGCGCAGCGAGAGCTCGCCTTGTGGGGGTTTGATTTTATTTTCCACTAAAAGGTCAAACTGGAGAGAGCAATGGGCTCAGAGCAGCTTTGCAGCGGGGCCCAGCTCGCTCACATCCTTGCCAAGGGAAGAAGAAGTTAATGGCCTGAGATAAGACCCTCGTCACAATGTTGTTTATTACATAAGGCTTCCATCGGGCTGGAGATAAGAACAGGAATTTGTCCCCAGTCCAGCTGGGTGGGGCAGCTGAGCTCATGGTGTGTGTTAGAATGGGAACCAACAGCAAGGGGTTCATTTGAGGTGCTTGTCCCACCATCAGAACTGCCATGAGCGAACTGATACTGACAGCTGATGGAAAAGTTCACTCTCTTTCTCATGGGAGCAATAGACCAACCTTTTTCTGACAGCAGTAGACTTAAAACTGTAATTTCTCTTCAAATTTCATTGGGAATGTTCATTGAGCCAAACTGCTACTCTGAAACCAGTACACCAATAGTTTCAGACCTCTTTACCAACCAAGAAACCAAAGCAGGAGGATGAATTGACTCACCTAAGACTACAGAGTAAGATCAGCTTCAGTTCTAAATTAGCAAACAAATCCCTTCAGTCCTAATTCATGTTCGTAATTCTTCTTGCAAAAAAAAGAGCATTTTCCTCATTCCAGATCACTTTGTTGCAGATAAATCAGATCATGGATGAGTCTATCTGAGTTCCTGACTAATGTCTCACGACAACAAAACCAGTACCTCCTTCCTATGAAAAAACAGTGGCCAAAAGGTGCTTTATTTGAATCATCTTCTTGCTATCTATTTAATACATTTATTTTTGCAGGTAACATGATTAATGTAATGGGATATTCTTCATCTCCAGTCGATAATGTTGTTTTTAAGTTTTGACTTCACATTAATAAAATGAATTTATAGAGTTTATATTAATCCTTGATAATTCAGACTGAGGGGAGGTCTCCTGGAACTCCCTCCTGAGGGGCAGCTCTGATCTCTGCTCCCTGTGACACGGACACAACCCAGGGAAGGGCTGGACTGGGCCAGGGGAGGGTCAGGGTGGATTTTGGGAAAGGTTCTTCCCCCAGAGGGTGTTGGGCACTGCCCAGGCTCCCCAGGGATGGGCACAGCCCGAGGCTGCCAGAGCTCCAGGAGGGTTTGGACAGCGCTCCAGGGATGCCAGGGTGGGATTTTGGGGCTGTGTAGGGCCAGGAGCTGGGCTGGATCATCCTTCCAACTCAGCATATTCCATGATTCTCTGAATTTTACTTATCTCAATTTTGTACTCTCGAAGTTTTCTCTTTCCCAGAAAAGTGCAACCTCAATCCTTACCTGCTCAGCACGGTTTGGGCTGATCTAACAACCTGTAACACTCGTATATACAATTTCCTTTTTCCTTCTGTTTGTGATTCCTCACACAGGGCTGAGTTTTGTTTTAGCCTCTGGCTCCTGCCACAGCTCTTGCATTGGGAGCTTGGTGTAGGTGCTGTGCCTGGGTCATGAGCAGCACTGTTTGCCAAAGGTAAAGCTGGGTACACACACTCATCCTTCGGGCCAGCCGGGCTTCGTTCATCGATGGGGAATGTGCCGTGACTCTCGGGAAGGCGCAGCGCTTATTCACTTATTCCCCTTCTGCTACAGAGGTGTGTAAAAGCACAACCAAAAGCTGCCCCGTGGCTTTTGTTTGGGATGTTGTGAGGCAGGGCCCACCCCAGGCCATTTCCCCGGTGGTTTGATTTTATTCAGTTTGCAGGCTGGTGTGGTGGGGTGGGCTGGGAATGGAGTGAGCGCATTGCTCTGCAGGGCGTGTGCCCCCGACTATGTGTTGTGTTCTGCAGGGTGTGGCCTGGAGCCCTGAGCACCACTGCCGTTCAGGAAAAGGAAAAAACATTGCAGAGAATGAAGAGAAAAAAAATGTTATAAAGCGTTTTCAAAATATAAATAACAGCGTTTGAGGAAATCTTGCTGCAGGAACAGGATGCGCGTGGAGGTGAAGAATTCAAATACAAGTGCTGTGCTAAGTATAATCAGTAATGAAAGCTCAGCCCTTCCTCTTAGGATTTGGATAAGCTACGTGTTGGCAGTACTTCCCAAATTCCAGGGAACAAAAAGCAAGCTTTAAATGTTGTCTTAAAGTCTCGTTGCAGTGTAGTTTGTTTATCATTACCACATGTAATGTTGTCCATCTATTTTTGTGAGATTGGACTTCAAATGCACAAGAGAATAAATGAATATCTACTGAATTTACTGTGTAAGTTCCGTCTTTATTGAATAGCTACACTCTTTCCTTAAGAAGACATAACCTCTGTTCTTCCTGCTCAATAGGCAGAAGAAATAATCTGATTATATTTCAGTCACAAGGATGGGCACAGCTGATGTGTACAAGTGTGGGGAACGAGGTCTGTGCAGCCACAGCTCTCCCTTGTCCTGTGACAGTGGGCAAATGCTCAGGGGAATCTGCCACTCTTAAAGCCTCTAGAAAATTTACCCTGCTTTTAATACAAACTGCCTGTTTTCAAGTCTGTTTCCTGGCACATTTTGGATGCCAGGAATTCACTATGGGAAAGTTACAGCGAGCAGAACATTTTTTTGTATTTTTGTATTTAATTTCTTTTTCCACTGTGGAAATGAATGCCACAAGGAAGTTGCAGCCCCTGTCCCAGGCTTACCTCATGCTTTGTACAGCACCCCTGTGGTGGTGAGTGTTCATTGTGGTTCAGGAGACTGCAAACACCTGAGCAAAGGTCATGGCCAGAGGGAGAT